TGATTTCAATTAAATTTCGTCTTCGTGCTCGATCATATTCTGATTATTTTATTGTAAGTTTATGTCTAGCAGATTTTTTTGTTGGTCTATTTGTGATGCCACTTATGACAATACATTCATTATATTTACATTGGCCATTTCATTATCGTCTTTGTTATATATGGATGTCAATTGATTTTACTTGTTCAACAGCATCATTTCTTACACTTGCTTCTATGGCTTTAGATAGATATTGGGCATTAACTAGTATTTTATTTGAGATTATTTTTTCTTAAATAATTCTTTTTCATTCTGTTTTTTTTCTAGCACCTTATTTTCATTTACGTAATCGTTCTTTATCATCTGTATTAATATTTATAATTAGTTCATGGGCTATTCCATTTGCCATATGGCCAAGTTCAATATTGATTTCACATTATTATAGCAAAAAGGAACCAATATGTGTTCATCCAGCACCACCATTTATCATTGTTCTATTATGTACATTTTTTTATTATATACCACTTTTATTTATGCTTGCTTGTTATTCAAGAATTATAATCAATATAAAAAATATTGAAGTATTAGTAAGTTTAACAGATTTTATTTATTGTCTTAAATAAAGTAGAAATTGAATTTTTTTTATCGTCCTTCTTTTTTCAAATATTTTCATATGAATAGATTTCACAAGTTTTTCTTAACGTTCAAAAAGAGTATAAAATAGTTTTGTTGGCGTACTATTAATAAAAGTGTCGAAAGAAAAAAAAAAGTGACATGAAAATAAAATGACATAGGGCTAAGTGTCATCAATAATATTAAATGAAATTAATTTATCATCCTGTCTTACGAGAGCATTAATGGAGTTATCAAAGCATTCGTCAAACTTTTATTTGTTGGATTTGACGTCCTCATCTTACTCAGCATCTTCTAAAATCTCTAAAGCCAAACTTTTAGTGCATTGTGGAAGAAAGAAAAGTACATATTGATTTTAGATGGATAGAATGGTGAAGAGAGTTTTCTTGACCAAAGAAAAACAAATATCGAATAACGATCATTCATATTGATAAGGCTTGGAACACTTATTGTAGCCATTTGATTAGAGTTCAGTATCAATTATAATTTAGTCATCGATAGAGTATCCTATTTACAAAGATTTATGGCAAGTATATGAACTCGAGGGATTAAACCTATTCCACTAACTTACAATTGATAATGAATTCCAATCATATGACTAGAGATTCGAATCTCATTGATCTTGATAATCATTATTCAATTTCACGAAAAAAATATTTGTTTTTTTCGTTTTGTAGAGAATCAAAAGTTACATATGATATGTGAAATTCAGACTAAGATCTTTTGATTTCACCAATCGGCAATTGATATCATGTCAAAAATCTTCTGTTAACGATCAGTAAATTATATTTTCTTTGATCCATGTTAGATTACATAGCCCCAGTAAATAGATGGTTTGATTTTTTTCATCTGTTAATGTTCTATATTTTAGTAAATTCTATGAAAAATATCTCTCACTTGGTGAAGTATAATTTCAGTAAACATCTATGAGACATTTTTTTGACTTTTTCTTTTGATAGCAGGTTGCTAGTACTCAAAAGTCAACGTAACCTAAATTTTCTACGAAACATTCAAATGAGCTAAAAATTTGAGTTGTGCGGTTTTAGATGATGATGATCTTTTGAATGCGCATGAAAATTCAAAAAAAAAAATTTTTTTCACAAATGCTTCGTATATTAGAATCATCCTCAATGTTCTCATAGAAACTCAAATAAATATATCGGTACAGTCAAAGAAAACTCTGATTTAATTGATTAATTCATAATTTCAATATATAATTAAAGTATGAGCCTTAATGTTATTTCTTTTCTATAGATCAAAGATAGTTGCGATACAATGAATTTAAATTCATCTGGTCATGCTTTAAAACCATCAACTATGACAACAACATCAAATTATGATGGTTCTGCTCGTAATGATAAAAGTAGTAATACAACAACAGTAACAACATCAATTTCATCAATACGTACTCGTTTTTATAAATATTTTCAACGAAATAGAACAATAAATTCAGTTAGAAAAGAATCTTTACCTGCCAATGAAAAAAAATTTATAATACATGAAGTAGTTAAAAATCGAAAAAATTCAAATGAATATCATCATAACACAAATCCAAAACGACGATCAATTGTCGTTGGTCAAGGTAGAACATCAAATGTGATACTAGCAAAAACATCATCAACATCATCATTGTCATCAGTACCTCATCATCGTTTATATCGACAACCAAGAACAGCAGCATTCAAAGGACAAAAACGTTATTTCAACGATATTATTGAAGATAATAGATTAAAAAATGATTTAATTATTAATCACGAAGAAGAACAAAAATTAGTTCAAGCATATATGAACACTTATAGATTATCATTACCAGCTACTCGTTATGAATCATGTTGTTATTATCAACATTCAGTTCCTACGCAAACAATAATAACAAAAGCAATTGTTGAAAATCAACATCGAAATATTATTAATGATCATCAATATGAAAATTCACATCCACATTCTTTACCAAGACAACGTAGTCAATCATATTCACCATCATCTATTGAATATCATGGTAATGGTGGTATTATAGCAGCAGATGGATCAAGACATGATTCATCATGTGACAATTCTGTAGATGAAGAACATCGTCGTTTAAATTCTCGTACTCAACAATTATGTTTATCGAAAACACGTAATACAAGTCGTTATAGTCGACGTGCTATAGCAGAATTTATGCATCAAAGGCATCAGGCATGTTTACGACGAAATCAAAAAGCAAGTCGAATGCTCGGTATGAATAAAACAAAACAATATATAAAATTTTTAATTTAATTATAGAAAATCAAAATCGAGTGACGTGAAAAAAAAAGAGACGCTTGAAGGAAGAATATGAGAAGATTGATATAATTTCATAAGAGTTTAATCCTTTTTTTGCTCCTTTTCATTCTTTTTATTGTTTTCATTATATATGCATCTGATTATTGACTTTTATCGGTTGCACTATTTCATAATTTTGATTTAATTATGATAATAAAAGAAATAAAAAAAAAATGTTCGGAATTTCTCTTGGGACTAAACTTCATATTATGATCATATATATAAGAGAGTCTTTAATATGTCTATATTTAATACAGTATTTTATAGTCTAGAATAATTAAATCAGAAAATATTATTTTTTTTTTGTATAGGTATTTTACTTGCTGTTTTTCTTATTTGTTGGCTTCCCTTTACAATATCTTATCCAACATCAATAATTTATCCAAATAAATTTCCAAGTGGTCTTGAATGTATTATATTTTGGTTTGGCTATGTTAATTCATTATTAAATCCATTTTTATATGTATATAGTTCACGTAATTTTCGTCAAGCTATTACTGAAACATTATGTTGTCATGTTCGATTGCAATCACAACAACGTTTACGCTATCAATGGTCATTTCGTACTGCTCAGAAATAGAGAGCTTATTGTATATATTAAGAAATAAAAATAAATAAAATAAAAATAAAGACAGTAAAACTGTCGAACAAGTTACGTGATTTGTATCTATATAGATTATCCTGAATATATAAAAAAAATGAATAATTTTGTATCAACTAAAAAACTTCATTAGATCTTTTTGTTTTATGAATATTATGCTTGATTCATATGTAGGACGTTCCCCAAAGTTTCCGGACTGATTTTATACAAAAACATCAAAGAACGCGTTACAATTAATAATCAGCGAGAGCCAGATCTGACAAATAAGGCGGATGACGAAATAATTTGTATTTTAAAACGTGAATAGTAAAAGAAACAAGATGTGATGTATGTGATAGAGTATTATTATGTTGAAAAATGACACCAACTGAAATTAAATCTCGCCGTTGTTTTCTAATGTGTAGATAAAGTTTATTTACCAAAATATTTGCATAAAATGCTTTCATTATTGTCACATCCACCAGAGCAGACTCTTTGAGAATAATTTCTTTATGATTTCAGAAAAAATGCATATAAAACTTTGTTAGTCAAGTTTTATTGTTGATAGTTAATCAACTTATTTCCACTGTTTTGGTGATTGTTTTGATTCACATTCCCAGTAATGAATCTACGATTTATTGCCATTTATATTTCGAAAAAGAAGAGTCGTTTTCTTCAATCATCTAGAAAATACTTAAGTCATATATAACTGATTATGTAAAATGTCATGCATTGTGTTAGTTGAAATACTTAGCATTCGCTATTCGCTGAATTATGATTCGATGGTCTTCGATGATTAGACTTTCAATAGCTTTAATATTTTTATTATCAGTTGCAATAACTGATCGTTCACATCTAGGATTATTATCTATGTTTAATTATCCTTCTTTAAAACTACAAGCCCATTCAAAAGCCGTACTGCGTGATGAAACATGATCACCGTTCACTGCCACTATATATTCATAAATACTGGATGGAGATTGACCTTCAAAAGCAAGAAACTTTATTAATAAATGTTTTCGTGATCAAAGTTCACAATGTTTATAGATAGAGGATTTCTACGAATAATACATAGACAACAGTCTAAGTATAGCAGCACTTTTTGTTGTTTTTAAATATAGACAGTCTGGCAGCCTTTTGAATGTCCTACGTAAGTTTATTATTCAATAGGAATGGAACTCTTTTCATCAGAAAACAATCATTATAATTTATTTTCTTATTTTATTAAAAATATATTTATATATCTTTTAAACAAAATCAAACCTAAGTAGACTTCGTTATCAATTAGACCCAAAACTTCGAAATAATTTTCTTATATATAAAAATAAATTTTTATTTTTATTTCTATTAAAAACATTTAGCATGCACTGATAATTTTCTAATTAACTAAACGAAGCATTCATTTGCACTCGATCAAATTCTAATATATGAAACAATAATTTCTTTTATGTCAACATTAGAAACTGATGTTAAAAGGTATTTTTATGAACAAAGAATTCAATATAGATTCTTGACTATTGAATTTCGAGAAAGACAGTTATTATCTCAATTAAGCAAAAAAAAACATAAACGAGCAACATGATTATCCTGAAATGTTCACAATACCCTTTAGGTCCAATCAGAAACATGTTCCATAGAAGTCAAGACTAGTTATCTTAACAAAATTCTTGGATTCCATCATGTATAGTTCGTTTTTTTATCAATCTCGTCAAAACCAGCCCACAGAACAGAAAAAGAAGACAAAAGTTGGATTTGACAATCTGACCCCCTACAGTATTCAACATCTGATGGTTTTTCTGCCGCTGGATCATGACTTACAAATAGATTAATGTTAGTGTAAATAGCCCAAATAGCAGAAAGACGTTCATTCATTTGCTAGACCAAATAAAAACTGGTCGAAGATGAGTAACTTGACTAGTCTAAAACGTCTTCTGCATCCATCATGTCTAATCAAGTCTTTAGAATATATCGTCATTACTAATTCAGAGAATTATGAAATTTCTTAGTAACTCATTTTTCTCATACTAAATTTCGCAGCCAATTGGTTTAGATTGATCAATAATGAATAGAAAAAGAATGCAATACAAGGAAAATGTTTCAATATCTATATCGTTTCTTGATAATAAATAGGGAACAATCAGGTATCTTTAGAGCATAGGCGAGATAATAGAATAAAAATCATTTCGCCAAGTATGTTTTGATAAAAGTCAATTATCATTATAGATGTGCGTTAAAATGCACGCCTTACAAATTGTTTCAATTTTTTAACTTAAAATCTTTGGAAACCCCTACTCAAACTTTATTTCACAAACGTATTTCAACTATCATGTCAAATGATTTAACTAAACAGTTATATAGTTATATTTCAAAATAAAATTAAATCTTTCTATATTATATTGACGAACGATAAGATTTGCTAGATAGCGATAGAAAAACGTGCACCTGTATGTTCCGTTATAAGTATAAGTTATGAATATCATAAGTTTATCGTATAACATCACACGAAAATATGTCTTTTCTTTCATTATTGATAACTATTAAATATATATCAACATATATGTAAATTGTCACCGATACGATTTTTTCTAGTTAGGATGAAAATACTAATGAGTTCGTGAAGATCAATACTGAAGTCAAGGATGTATAGCATATTTTATTACAATTCATCATATTTTTGTGTGCGTAGTTGTTACTACGCATTGTTTAAAATTCAAGACGTTACTACGCACTTCTTCAAGGACAAGGACTTTGTACTGTTGAATGTTAACATGATAAAAGTATATCGAAGTAGTAAAAAGTAGAAGAAAACACAAAATATGCTGTTCATTTCCTAGCAAACCCTGCGAACTTAAAATTTAAAAATTGCTTAGATGTGTAAAAAAAACTAAAAAAAAATTAAAATATTTTTTGTGTCATAATTTGATTTTATTTTAAATATGCATTTTGATTGTTCCAATTTAAGAATCAATGTAGATTACGCAAATGTTCGAATAGAAGATGATAGAATAGCTGTTATTTATCACTCGAAAAGAATGAAATATAAAGAAAAAAAAAAAGTCTTGACTGAGATTTCAACCGAGGTAGTATCACAACTGATAACTAGACAAACACAGTCTTTACTCAATTTGAAATTCAATGTGAACTTTAATTTAATCTTTTCTAGTGATGAATAATAGTCGTTCTATCATCTTTTATTCGAATAATGAATAAAAAAGTTCTGCCATATACATTTATATAAGAAGAAACGTGTTTTGATGGAAATTTCTTTATGAGATCTAGAAAACACATTCAACAACATTAGAAAATTTAGCTTTATACATTCTAATATGTCTCAAAAAACTAGCTACTTACTATAGATACATTCGAAAATGTATTTCTTCTTTGAATAAATTCAGATCTTCTTCTAGTTCAAGTATTTTGTTTGACTGCTGTTCATGTTCATCAATCTTTTATATTTCAAACATGTTCAATTGAATTCTCAATGGCAGACATTCGATCTTGGAAGCATTCGGAAACAGCTTCTATTCTGAATATATTAAACTTTATTTTGTCCTATCCGTTCCCATCTTTATTCATGTTCAAGTACATCTTCTAGTAGTTGTAAATGTATTAAAATAAACTGAATTTGAGAGTTCGAATTCATATTAGAAAATATATTTGATGAAAGTGATATTAATAATCATGTGTCTAACTGTTTATAGATAAACCTTTTTCTTCTTCTATCTCCTAGAGAAAAACAATAGATTAGTTTATGGTCAATATAATCAAGTAGTTTTCAAAAAAAGTAGAACAGACTTTAGAGATGATGATAAAATCTTAACGTCTTTCAAAGTACAAATGCTCGAGAACTGTTATTTGTTCTTTATGGCTTACGAAGTAGAATCCGTATTTTTCTCGTAAATACTTGAAACGAATGATGTCGCAACAAATTCCTGAACTTCTGTAGTCTATCGTCAAAAGGAATTCCTTCTAAATTATATGTTCTCTTCCTCTAGTTTTAGCCAACGTATAACAGAAATATACAATTTCAGAAAATCAAAGGTGTAATGTTCAATAGGTTCAAATAGAGGTGATCTTAACGTGTAATGCAAATGATGCTACATTTCTATTCTGCCAAATAATTAAAATGTTGAAAAACAGTCTATTTAAAAAGCAGCTAGATGTATTAGTTATAAGATAAGTGATTAATTGTACTCCAGTAACACATTCAACCGTGTTGTTACATGTCTTATTAGACGAAAAATGATTCTTTTTATTTTATTGTCGTTTATATATAGGATATTAGACTACCTCAGATGCAGAATTTTCTATCAGAAAAGTTTGATTCAAAGCTTCGATACAAACTTTTTAAAAGAATACTGTCGAAAATAATATGGAGAATTTTCTGAAGTTAAGAGAAAATTTCTGTGAGCATAAAATTCTTAATAAATGAACAAATTATGAGAGCGATATTCTGCAAAGATCGATCATAGTATCAGTTAGAATCAAGTAAACTGACTTGAAATCACAGACAGCTTAATTCAATTCTCGGTATTCGTCGACTGTGATGAATCTTAAACACATGGACTTTGATCGTACCGCACAAATACAATCGAATGAAATCGAGCTAAATGCAGCAAACATAGTAAGGTAAGAGTGATGCGTCGTTTATCAGTGGTTTATTTTCATATATGATATATCCCATGACGATCATGACATATCAGTGAAAATTGTTTGGGCAATGGGAGAAAACCTATTTTACTCATGACCAAGCGAGGCTCATTTATTTTTATTAATCAATGCATCTATTTAGATGACTTGTAATTTTCATATGAGAAGAATCCCATTTCAATATTTACTCATCGATAATGACAACGACAAATAGTAGTATAAAAACTAGTGCTCTCTACCTCTTTCTCTTCACTTCTAGTTTTCGATTTCGTTGATGTGAAAAAAAGAATGCATAGTATTAGTCATGTCTGAGTTGACTTTTTCTCTTATTCATATTTTCATTTACTAAT